TGATGTGATAGGACATTTTGACTAAAACCCATCTGGGGAGGAAAGAGTTCATTTCAGTTTACACATCATAGTCCATCACTGGAAGAAGCCAAGGCCCTGGAGGCAAGAACTGAAGCAGAGACTATGGAGGAACTGTTTACTGGCTTGCTTTCCATATTGTGCTCAGTCTAATTTCTTATACAACCAGGACCACCTGCCCAAAGACGGCACCACTGACACTGAGGTGGGCCCTCCTATATCAATCTCTAATCAAGAAAATACACAATAAACATCCTCACTTTTGTGGAGGTCAATTTGATGGAGGCAATCCCTTAGTTAAGGTACTCTCATCCTTAGTGAATCTATTGGTGTCAAAACTAACCAGCATACTACCAAAAAATCCATGGTAGAGCAATACCCCAACTAGAAGCCGCACACTAGCAAAGAAAATTCCAGTGCCTGTAATGGACTATCTCTTTTTTACTTATTTTTTAGCCAGTGAGATTGCTTAGACCCCCAAATATGTCAGGTCATTGTCATGACTATTTTTGTCCTCCAGAACTTTATGGTAAGACCCTATTGCTCAAGACACCACATAACTGAGTCACATAACAGAGAAATTAATTTAGTATTGAATTGGAAGCTTTATCCCTACTGGATAGCTTTTGTAGTGCTGGAATGTGCTATGCACACTACTAGATGAGAAAAGTTACCATCAATATTGCACCATTGCTAACTCCGTGAGCTACATTAATGGCTGTCTTGTTAAGATATGTCCACAGGCTCAAGGGCACAAATATTGGAGTGTGAATGCAAATGGTTCCAATAGGCTCATATGTTTGGTCAACAGTCTGTTGGAACTGTTTGGAAAGGATTAAAGGTGTAGTGTTTGTTGGAGAATGTATGTTACTGGGGGCAGTCTTAGAGGCTTGAAAAGACTTGTTCCATTCCCAGTGTGCTTCTGTTCTGCCTTCTGGGACAAGATAGGGATTCTCAGCTGTTCCTGCTGCCATGCCTTTGCTCTGTTATCAATGATTCTAACCCACTGAAACTGTAAGCCCAATTAAATGCTTTCTTATATAAGTTGCCTTTCTGTTCTGTCATAGCAATAGAAAAATAACTAATATAAGGAGTAACTGACCACTTTAGAATTGGATTTAATGCCCATTCCAAGAAATAGAACCTGTACCTGACACAATTAATGGAGCCAAGAACACGTGACTAGATACATCATAGGCCCTGGGAGAACCTTGAGTCTGCTAAATAGACGTAATTTAAAATCATTCTGAATTAACTGCTACACCCATATATCTGTGCATCTCTTATCAGAGAAGGTATTTATAGCTGGCAATTAAAACAGAAACCCACAGCTGGTCAACGTGCAGAGAATAAGAGACTGCAAAATACTTAACACTAAATGGACATCTATACCAGACCCTTCTTCTCAAGGCTTGGGATCTTCACAGCAATGAGGAAAGATTATTATCAGCCAGAAGTGTTGGACGACTACAAGCAATGTTTCCTGGCCATAACAGGAGAGTTGCACTTATGAACTCACAATGATTGTGACTGCATGCACAAGACCTGTGCAAACTCAATCTGGGCAAATGCCAGCATGGAAGAGGATAGAGGAGCACAAAATCCTACCTCTAGCTTTGGTATATTTTAGCTGCCAGGATTACAGAATCCTGTTTTTTTGTTTGTTCGTTTTTTAATGATGTGGCCAGGCTTCAGGGCAGGCCCCACACTCAAGAGTATTTTGGTAACATAAATGGGATTCAATGGGTTAAAAAAAAGAGAAGAAAAATAGAGTGAGAGAATATGAAGTTGGTTAGGTAGGAAGGTGAGGATGGGTATGGCAGTAATTGAGGGAAGGGGAATGATGATCAAAATGCATCGTATGGAATTCTCAAAAGAATAAAATAAAATTCTCAAAAGAATAAAAATAAAAATAATATCTTTTTGCACACTATGAAGATGTGTCTTTGCCAAGGCACCTTTTGATGGGTTTAATAAGAGCTGAGTAGGTGAGACTTCCAGGGAGAGAGGGGAACTTGGGATGAATCTAGGCGTGGCAGGAGATGCCAGTAATGTGTGCAGGGACTTGCACAGTACTGACGAGCGGTAAGAGCCATGTGGCAGCATGTAGATGAATAGAAATGGGTTAATTTAAGTTATAAGAGCTCGTTGGGAACAAGCCAAAGCTAAAGGCCCTGCTTTCATAATTAATAAGAAGTCTCCATGCCATTACTTGGGGCCTGGAAGTCCCAAAAGGAAGTCCCAGGAGAAAGACCAACTACACAATATTAAAACAACGATTCCAGATTTATAGTGGAAAATGGGTAGTTGTGCTCTGCCTAATACACAACTCTTAAAATATACCCCTACTTCACGTCAAAGTGAGCCCATCCTTTCTATTGTGTCAGTTTCCAATTAAAAACTGCAAATGGCTTTCCATCACATTTACAATAAAATCTGGTGGCCTGATTGTAGCTAGTGAGCCTGCCAATCCCTTCAGTCTCACCCCTGTTCTCTGCTCTCCTCAGGGCACCTGTTCCTGCTCTTCCTTACCCAGCACCACTTTCTCAGCCCCTCCCTGAGCAGCCGAAAAGTCACTTCCCACGATCATGCAGGTTTTGTACATCCTTTCCATGGTTCATGGATACTCACTATATCTCAAATTTCATGCATCTGATTCTTTGTTTTTAGTAAGAACCAGAAATGCCCCTATGAATCAGCAAGTTCCATGCAATGGGGACTATTTCATTGATCACTGATGCCTAACATCTAGGCAGGCGAGTGTCCTGTTCAGTTAAGGTTTGTGTTGTTGCACTGTTTACATATTTCAGGTGAATGTACTAGAATCGTTTTCCATTCTGGCTTTGTTTTAGCTGCACACCCTTAACTTTTACTCCATCCCACATAAAAACACTATTCAGATTCTTTGTGATTTTAGTTCCTTTCTTCATAACAAAAATGCCTCTATGGAAAGGTAGAAAAACTGATCACTGGAAAAGTATAAATGACTTCCAAGACATTTCTAGTGCATTCCCAGAGATGCATATTTATTTAAAAATTGTGCCTTTCCAGATAGTTAATTTATCACTGTGGACTTTTTGGCATCAGTTTTCTCCATCTGTTTCTCATAGTTGTAACCCATCAACACAGTTGCACAAGAATTAGATCCTTGAAGAAAAGGACTGTGGGTATTGACTTACATGTGTATCCATTTACTGAGTTCTGCATTCATGGTGTGAATGGCTATAGATAACAAATAAATGTGAAATACGTGATGCTGTAATAATATCCATGTAGAAGAAAAATATAAATAAGACACTAATGTGCCTGATACCCTGGGTTCTATACTAGCAAAAGAACAAAAGCCCTAATAGGCTCTGAAGCAGTTAGGCTTGGTTCGGAACTCCCAACTCTCCCATTTACTATCTAAGGTTTCGTTCCTTTATTTATATGAAAGAACAATAGCTATTGTAAAGAGTGTGAAAGGAAGATAAAGCTAAATCACTCAGGAGGAATTTACATGACGGTCCTGCATTGGGCGCTGAGGATGTAACAGGACAGAACAGATGAAATTCATGTCTTCACGGGGCTTCTATTCTAGTGAAGACAGATGAGAAAAAACAATCTGGCCGGGTGTTGGTGGCGCACGCCTTTAATCCCAGCACTCGGGAGGCAGAGGCAGGCGGATCTCTGTGAGTTCGAGGCCAGCCTGGTCTACAGAGCGAGTTCCAGGACAGCCTCCAAAACAATACAGAGAAACCCTGTCTCGAAAAACCAAAAAAAAAAAAAAAAAAAAAAAAACCAATCTGTTAGATGGTGTCACATGGTAAGGGCAATACCCAGTGAGGAAAAGGCATGCATGTGTGTGAGAGGAAAGACTGCATATTTAGGTCGGGTGGGGGCTGTATTGTGAAAGCTGTAATTGAAAAAAGGGATGGGCACAACTGAGTGGATATTTGAGGAAAGAACATTCCAGCAGAGACAATCTTATGTGTCAGAACTCTATCAGAAATGTATCCATCCTTAGGATATAAAGCATCGTCTGAGAAACAACAGTGGTATCAGTGGTGACCTTGTCAAACATATGGGTCTGTAGGTTTAATTTACCCTAGTAGTCTTGACGGCTTGTTCCTAGGGACTTGTTTCAACCAGTTTTCTAGCTGACCCACAGTAAGAGCCACAGTTGTAACAACAGAACTACCCCTGTGGAAGTCGGTACCCTTCATACATCACTCCTTCTGGCTATACCACCTCCAAAGGACAGGCTACCTCCTGAAGGCCTTGTTAAATAGCAGATTGTTGGGTCCCAGAGTTTCCCACTCATTGTGTTTGGTGTGAGGAGACCCTGAGAGTTTTCATTTCCACACATTCTTAGCCGATGCTGATGCCTATCCGGGTTCATCTGAGGGTCCAGACAGATGATTTGCAAGTGAGCTAGCTACATGCTGGAGCCAAGTCCTGCCGGAAGGAGGCATTAGGTGCGGCAAGAGGAGGCAGTAACTTATGAAGGTGACACATAGCGCCCTGTCCAAAACATTTTTTTAAGAGGCCCTATTGAGAAGCCTGCAGAGAGACTAGAGAAGTACAGGGATGCCCATAACCATGAGAAGCTGGGTGAGGACACAAGAAGACATGATGAACAGCACTAGAGTCTGGATAATTTCAAAATTAAAGTCCACAGAATCGGCCCTTGCGTTAAATGTGAGGTGTAAGGAGTAATTATTTCAAGATGGCCTCAAGAATCTTAGACCAGGTGATGCGCGGAAAAGCCCCTGGCACACAATGTGCTCAGTAAACGGTGCGTTAAAAACAAACAACAAAAAACAAACATTAAAAGAAATACTGTAATCACAACTCCTGGAAAGCAGCATGGGGAACCTATTGGATGAAGTGTGTGGCCTAAATTGTAGGTGCTGAGACAATCCTTGGATCTCGCTTAACATTTTGCAAGAAGGAAAACGGTTTTCAGAAGGGGAAACGGAAAGTTGAACCTTGGCACTTACTGCTGCTTCTCCTCTCCCTCCATGGCCCCCTCTGGTCTGGCACGGGGCAGCCAAGAACGTCAGAAGAGAACACTGACTAGCCCTTGCTGGGAGAGAGGCTCCAGCGCCTCTGTGACTCCAGTGTTGCTAAGCGACTGCGGCCTGTGGGGGGGGGGAGGGGAGCTGCAAGAGGCTGGGAACCTGTGCGCAGGCTCTCTGTTGGGCTTTCGCAGTCGGGCGTGGCTGTACCCAGAGTCTCTTGTACCTTCCCTGCCTCAGGTTGGACAATGAGTTTGAATTTAGCCAATACTAGAGCCGGCCTAGCGGGGGCCAGGCTGGTCTTGAGGAGTGAGCCAGGATGGCTACCAGGCCTTGTCCGCTCCCTGGGAAACTTGCTTTCAGGGGCCATTCTGCACTGTGCAAGTCCTGAGTCCCACGGGGAAGTTTGGCTGCCATTTTACCGTGTTTCTGACAGAATCTCTGTCGCCAGACCTGTGGCGAGCTTTAAAATAGAACAAAGGACCGCTGCTCTGCAAATGAGGTTCCCTGTGGTGCGTGCATCTGCTCTGTCAGCCTGGGGTTTCAGGGTGGGTGCAGGAATCTGCAGGTTTTGGCAGAGTCGGGCTTGCTAGTCTGCACTTCCCCCAAAGAGCAAGACTTCTTGTTCACCTTGGCCCTGGAATTTCTTACTTCATTTTACCATTGCTTCCCAGTTTCCACTACCAGAGACAAATGTCTTTGGCACGTGATAACGGGAGTGTTTTCCTGCATAGGAAAAGAAATGGGATTAGAGAGGTCTCTGTTGAACTGAGTCCTTCTGTGAATGAGGAGTGTGTGTAGTCAGGGGAAGTCAAAGTCAGTCTGCATATTTATATTCTCTTGGGACAGATGTGACTGAGTGGAGACTGACCCTGGTCCTTGTCCTAAAGACCTGTCAGACTTAGGGAAAAAAAATTTGGATAGATTTGACATTCTGCAACCTATGTACTGTGTTGTTAAAAAGTGGGAGGGTACGTGAATATATGTGATGCTGTGTGTGTTTCTGGAAGACGGAGTGGGTGGGTAAGCAGGTTGGAGAACTGGAAAGCTAGGAAGGGAGGTGTCGTAGTGACTGTTTGCTGAGCGAGGCATTCACATCCACGTGGAGATACCTAGTTTTATTCTAACCATTAAACTGACTAGGTCCACAGGCCCTGGGAGCAGCGGGTGTTTGTGTTGTGAGTCCATCTATTGCTAGCTTGCCTTGAAGGAAGACATTTAGCATCTTGGAGCCTCAAGTTCTTCATTCACAATATCTGGAAACACCTAGTATAGATGGTTTAATAGCTAGCATTGCTCTATCGAGCATGTGACCTGTATGTGGCACCAAGTGAACTTTTCAGTCATAAAGAAGAATGAAGTTATGTTGTTTGCAGGAAAATGGATGTAAGTAGAGAGACAGTAAGTGATTTAAGCCAGTCTCAGGCAAAAATTATGCATCTTCTCTCATTTGTGGTTCCTATATTTTATACAGTTACACAAGACCATAAGTGTATGAAACAAAAGTAGAAAGACAAACATGTGGGGATGAGAAAAAGTAGGGTGCGGTGGTGCAGGGGACTTGTGTGATCAATATACAATATAAAACAAAGCAAACTGTGGATGGGTGGGTGGGTGTCACCTTGCATTGAGAAGCGGACACCAGAGAAGCATGTCATATATCTTCCTCTACCATGACCTTCTGCTTTATTGCCTTGAGACAGGATCTGTCACTGAGCAAGAAGACATTCACTGACTTGGGAGTTGACTGGCCAGCGAACTCTCAGGATCTGCCCGTCTCCACCCCTCCACATACACTGTGGTTACAGGAATGTGCATCCATGGGTGTTAGGGATTTGAACATGGGTCCTTTGTTTACACAGGAAGCACTTTTACACACTAAGCCATCCTCCCCAGGCCCACTGTATGAAAAGATTTTTTAAAGATTTATTTATTTATTATGAACACAACATCCTGCCTCCGTGTATGTATGCACACCAGAAGAGGGCACCAGATCTCATTACGGATGGTTGTGAGCCACCATGTGGTTGCTGGGAATTGAACTCAGGACCTCTGGAAGAGCAGTCAGTGCTCTTAACCTCTGAGCCATCTCTCCAGCCCTGAAAAGATTTTTTTAATTAAATAAACTATGCCTGCCACAAGGTAGTCACAATCTTAGGGGTTTAAACTATTCAGATAGGAAAACTTTGACAACAAAGCTGCAATGATACAGGGCAGCGTTATATTAATTGACACACATGGGAATTACATTTCAGTGTTGACACTATAGTACTCCAGCTATACGTGGTGTTTTCTCTCGGGCATTGCACATTATGATATATGGCAGCATTATATTAATTGACATATATGGGAATTACATTTCAGTGTTGACACTATAGTACTCCAGCTATACGTGGTGTTTTCTCTCGGGCATTGCACATTATGATATAGGGCAGCATTATATTAATTGACATATATGGGAATTACATTTCAGTGTTGACACTATAGTACTCCAGCTATACGTGGTGTTTTCTCTCGGGCATTGCACATTATGATATATGGCAGCATTATATTAATTGACATATATGGGAATTACATTTCAGTGTTGACACTATAGTACTCCAGCTATACGTGGTGTTTTCTCTCGGGCATTGCACATTATGATATATGGCAGCATTATATTAATTGACATATATGGGAATTACATTTCAGTGTTGACACTATAGTACTCCAGCTATACGTGGTGTTTTCTCTCGGGCATTGCACATTATGATATATGGCAGCGTTATATTAATTGACATATATGGGAATTACATTTCAGTGTTGACACTATAGTACTCCAGCTATACGTGGTGTTTTCTCTCGGGCATTGCACATTATGATATATGGCAGCATTATATTAATTGACATATATGGGAATTACATTTCAGTGTTGACACTATAGTACTCCAGCTATACGTGGTGTTTTCTCTCGGGCATTGCACATTATGATATAGGGCAGCATTATATTAATTGACATATATGGGAATTACATTTCAGTGTTGACACTATAGTACTCCAGCTATACGTGGTGTTTTCTCTCGGGCATTGCACATTATGATATAGGGCAGCATTATATTAATTGACATATATGGGAATTACATTTCAGTGTTGACACTATAGTACTCCAGCTATACGTGGTGTTTTCTCTCGGGCATTGCACATTATGATATAGGGCAGCATTATATTAATTGACATATATGGGAATTACATTTCAGTGTTGACACTATAGTACTCCAGCTATACGTGGTGTTTTCTCTCGGGCATTGCACATTATGATATATGGCAGCATTATATTAATTGACATACATGGGAATTACATTTCAGTGTTGACACTATAGTACTCCAGCTATACGTGGTGTTTTCTCTCGGGCATTGCACATTATGATATATGGCAGCATTATATTAATTGACATATATGGGAATTACATTTCAGTGTTGACACTATAGTACTCCAGCTATACGTGGTGTTTTCTCTCGGGCATTGCACATTATGATATAGGGCAGCATTATATTAATTGACATATATGGGAATTACATTTCAGTGTTGACACTATAGTACTCCAGCTATACGTGGTGTTTTCTCTCGGGCATTGCACATTATGATATATGGCAGCATTATATTAATTGACATATATGGGAATTACATTTCAGTGTTGACACTATAGTACTCCAGCTATACGTGGTGTTTTCTCTCGGGCATTGCACATTATGATATAGGGCAGCATTATATTAATTGACATATATGGGAATTACATTTCAGTGTTGACACTATAGTACTCCAGCTATACGTGGTGTTTTCTCTCGGGCATTGCACATTATGATATATGGCAGCATTATATTAATTGACATATATGGGAATTACATTTCAGTGTTGACACTATAGTACTCCAGCTATACGTGGTGTTTTCTCTCGGGCATTGCACATTATGATATATGGCAGCATTATATTAATTGACATATATGGGAATTACATTTCAGTGTTGACACTATAGTACTCCAGCTATACGTGGTGTTTTCTCTCGGGCATTGCACATTATGATATATGGCAGCATTATATTAATTGACATATATGGGAATTACATTTCAGTGTTGACACTATAGTACTCCAGCTATACGTGGTGTTTTCTCTCGGGCATTGCACATTATGATATAGGGCAGCATTATATTAATTGACATATATGGGAATTACATTTCAGTGTTGACACTATAGTACTCCAGCTATACGTGGTGTTTTCTCTCGGGCATTGCACATTATGATATATGGCAGCGTTATATTAATTGACATATATGGGAATTACATTTCAGTGTTGACACTATAGTACTCCAGCTATACATGGTGTTTTCTCTCGGGCATTGCACATTATGATATAGGGCAGCATTATATTAATTGACATATATGGGAATTACATTTCAGTGTTGACACTATAGTACTCCAGCTATACGTGGTGTTTTCTCTCGGGCATTGCACATTATGATATATGGCAGCATTATATTAATTGACATATATGGGAATTACATTTCAGTGTTGACACTATAGTACTCCAGCTATACGTGGTGTTTTCTCTCGGGCATTGCACATTATGATATAGGGCAGCATTATATTAATTGACATATATGGGAATTACATTTCAGTGTTGACACTATAGTACTCCAGCTATACGTGGTGTTTTCTCTCGGGCATTGCACATTATGATATATGGCAGCATTATATTAATTGACATATATGGGAATTACATTTCAGTGTTGATACTATAGTACTCCAGCTATATGTGGTGTTTTCTCTCGGGCATTGCACATTATGATATAGGGCAGCATTATATTAATTGACATATATGGGAATTACATTTCAGTGTTGATACTATAGTACTCCAGCTATACGTGGTGTTTTCTCTCGGGCATTGCACATTATGATATATGGCAGCATTATATTAATTGACATATATGGGAATTACATTTCAGTGTTGATACTATAGTACTCCAGCTATACGTGGTGTTTTCTCTCGGGCATTGCACATTATGGATTTGATAATAATTATTGACTCTTTATATATAAAGTACTGAACTGCTATTAGTGGT